GTCCAATCTACAAGTATTTTAATATAATTTTCGGTGTCTATTTATCAGGGACACTAATCTGTTGTTTTCCTCCATTTCTTTTTTTTATTGCTATATCCTTTTATTGCCTTTAGACATTAGGTAATATGAACTTTGTAGGTTGAGTTTGGAAGTATCCATTTCCCTTTTATTGCATTAGATGGTTTGGGAAATACTGTTGTTAGCTTGTCTTTCAAAGCCTAAGACAAAGTATCTGAAATCACCAAGTCAGGAGGTCTCCCTTGATGGAAGACTTTTATTACACCTGTAATCTCATTATTCATTACTGTCCTATTCAGATTTTATATATTGTTGGTTCAATGTTTGTGAATCATCTTGGTCTAGAAATTTCTCTATTTCTTGATTTTCCAACTTGCTGGCATAACATTTTTTTAAAAAACATTTGCTAATGATCATCTGAGCTTCAGTGGCATCTTAGTGATAGTCCTTTTTTAGTCTCTAATTTTATTTATTTCTGTCTTTTCTCATTTTTTTGAGATTTGTCTGGCTGAAAGTTGGATGATTTTGACTACTCTTTTCAAATCTAGTATTTGCTCAACCCTTTGCTTCACTGAGCTTTGGTATTTTTCTTTCCATTTTGATTTTTGTTTATTTCCTCTCTAACTTTTTCCTTCTACTAATTTTGACCTCATTTGTTCTTATTTTTCTGAGACTTTGAACTATACTATGAGGTGATTTATTTGAGATTGCTCTGTTTTAAGTAGGCACTACTGCTATAAAATTCTGCCTTTTGTTAATTTTAATGAATTTCTCAATTTCCTTCACCAGTGAAAGTTGATAAGTTTCATTTTATAAAAACTAGAGAAGTAAATATGATTATCTATTTATTGACATGCTTTATCTGGAGGATGTTTAATCAATAACCTCTATTATTCTGGTGGATTGTACTTTGATTGTGTGTCAATATTCTTTTTCTAGGAAATACAACACTCAAAAAAATTTTCTTGTGTGTGTTCAAGGAAACTGAATAACTTTATTGAATACATGACTGGGTAAAGAAAATGGGATACATATAACCAATGGAATTTTGGCATTCCTGGGACAATAGAGATCAATACGTTAAATGAAACAAGCCAGCCTCAGGAGCAGAAACTTCACACATTTCCTCTTAAATGGGGAATCTCGTTTTAAATGTATAGATGTGAGAGTGGAAACCTGACTAAGAGAGAAGAAGGGAAAGTCCAGATGGAGGGAGACAGGGAGAATGTGAAGGAGTGATAGCCTTACATGACACGAAGGGCCGAAGAAAAAGAAGGGGATCGGGGCAGGAGGCGCGCAGATGAGCAGAAATGTGAAAAGAGAGGCAAGATGGATAATAGCAACATGTAAGAATGTGTGTGTGTGTGTGTTGTGTGAAGTGTAATGAAATCTAGTACTTGCACACTCAGGTTTACTTGGCCGTGGTGAACAGAGCCACCGGAAACTTGGTGAGCTAGAGTGTCTATGTGTGCTGACTTAGAGGTTTTTTTTTTTTGTTTTTTTTTTTTGTTTTTTTTTTTTTTTTTTTTAAATCTATTCCTGGAAATGGTATAGTGGGGTCATACAATGATTCTAATTTTAGTTTTTTGGTTTTTTTTGTTTTTGAGGAACCTCCATAGTAATTTCCGAAGGGTTGCCTTAGTTTACATTGCCACCATAAATTCTCTTTANAGAGAGAGAGAGAGAGAGAGAGAGAGAGAGAGAGAGAGAGAGAAGAAGAGAATGAAAAAGAGAGAGAGAGAGAGAGAGAGAGAGAGACAGAGAGAGAGAGAGAGAGAGAGAGAGAGAGAAAGCCAGGCTTTGTGAAACTCAATTGTAATCTCCAAGCTGGGGAGCTAGAGAGGGGCAGGCAGATTTCTGAGGCTCTAGGCAGCCTAGCTTAGTTAGCAAGGCAATAACAGACTCTGCTGAAATAACAGAAACAACAGCTATGGTGTGCTCTGGCCTCCACAAGCAAGCACACAAGTGCATATGTACTCACACACGCATGTACCTATACATACAGATGCACACATACTGGCCCCCACACAGGCATAACACACACATGCAAACACAAAACACGCTGCAAGCCTGGCCTTACATCTGACTGTTCTGAGCTCTCGTGTTGCAGATCTCTGATTTGACACACACGTTCCCACAGAATCTTTAGTTAGCGATTTGTACCTTCTCCACGTGGGTGCGTGTCTGTAGACGGCTTCTTTTGATATCCTGAACTCATGGTCCCTGTAAGGACTATGAGTTAATCATTTAGAAGGGACGTCTGGCAATGACCAGGAATTGATGTTACAGAATTGCCCAGCTAGGAGCTCATAAAAATAAAAATTCTGTATACATAGGGATTTGCCGTGTTAGCATTCTCTGGAGCAGTAGAATCAATAAGATATACATTTTAAGTGAGATTAATTACATGGAATGGCTTACATAATTAATTCCATGGTAGGCTATCTGCAGTTAGAGGCCCACCCAGGAGATGGTTCTGCTTGCAGCACAAGTGTGAAGGCCTGTGAACCAGATGCACCAAGGACAGGAGTTGACTGTCAAGCTCAGAGACAAACAGAAGAGAAAACTCTCCTTTCTCCTCTTAGATGGTGCTCACCTAGATAGGTGAGGGTTGTCTTTGTATATATGTATATATTTGTGCATTTGCATGTGTGTGTGCATGTGTATATATATGTTTGTACCTGTGTCTGAAACCCAGCAGTCAACCTCTAGTTGACTAAGGGCCACAGTAATGGCTCCAACTTTCTTAGGGGGCTCTGGGGGATTGAACTCTGGTTCTCATACTTACACAGCAGGCATGTTCCCACCTGAGCCATCTCTCCAGCCCAATGAGGGCTTCTCTTTGCTCAGGCTCTCAATTCAAACCCCAAGTCTTTCTGAAAACGTCATGGGCACGCCTCAAAAGACAACATTTAGCCAACTGTATGGAGACTCTTTAACCAAGTCAAGTTAATGAATGAAGCGTCACGCCCTCGCATAGCCGGAAGGAGCTCCGCAGACTTGCCTTTACAGGGTGGCTTCTCAGAACTGCCAGTTTCCACTTCAAGAAGAACAGCGCTCTATTATTTGATTTTATTTTTCGCCTTGCTGTCTCCTTAACTTAAAAGCTTTCCTCAGAAGTCATTAAAATAATGCCATTTTCAATAGCAAATGGCATGTGTGTTAAAATAATGGGCCCCGGGGCGGTGGATGTAGCTCCATTTGAGGAGTGCTTGCCTGGCAACATGCAAAGCTCTGGGTTCGGTCTGAGGAATCAAAAAGGAACAAGAAGGAATGTAGCCTTTAGGTAGTTACTGTCATAGTTACTTTTCTATTGCTATGAAGAGGCACTTTGACCAAGAGAACTTATAAATGAAGCATTTGATTAGGGCCTTGCCTACACTCTCAGAGAGTTCATCCATAACCACCATGGTGGGGACCATGGCAACAGACAGGCAGTCATGGCCCTAGAGTAGTAGCTGAGAGTTTCCATTTGATCCAAGGTATGGGGAAGCAGAAGAATAGGCTGGGCTTGGTGACATCTTTTGAAATCTCAAATCCTATTCACTAGTGACATACCTCCTCTCAACAAGACCAAATCTCCTAATTGTTCACCCCCCAAATTCCCCCAACTAGAAACAAAGCATCTAAATACGATGCTATGGGGACCAATCTCATTCAGACCACCGCAGTTATCTGTCTTCCCACCTATCCATTTCTTTCTTTGTTTGTTTGAATATGATTTCCCACATGAGAATGATATTAACACATACATACCTATAGGTATGTGTTAGGAGGTAAAGGTGGAGTGACCAGATGTTGATTTCCTAGCCTGGATTTGATGAATGTTGTCTCATATATACATATACATACATATATATTCATAGCAACATGAAAGGAAAGAAAGCACTAAGAATCTGCGTCTTCATCTCTCCATCTGAAAACTAGGGGAAACACTAACTGCACAGGTTATTCGTTGACAGACCGCATGCTTCTGGCAATGGCGTTACAGGATCAGAGCAGTGTGAGCAATGTCACGATGGTTAGCGCGGGACTGTCAGCATTTCTCATCATCCTCCAAGTCTGAACAGAAAAGCACGGACTTTAGAAAATGTTCCGTGAGAGCGGAGCAGTCTGTGTGCACCGGGACAAAGTAGCCATCCATCATAGGGGATACGCCGTACCCATAACAGGACAGCCGGAAGGCGACACTGACTCTGATAGATCAATAGTCAAGTGGGCTTGCTCGTATTATCTCATCTCTTTCTGGTCAATAAAACAGCCCCACCCCCCGCAGTGATCCACTTATTATCATACATCCTACAATAAAAATACCCTGGGGAGTCAAGGTGCAGCCTCTGGGTTTTCGAGCCAGAACGTATCCGCTGAGAGGGAAGCTGAGTTTGTAGACTTGTTCAGTGCAGCACATTGGCTGCGCGACACCAACTGCGGTGTGCCAGAGGCTAGACATGGCTCAGAGCAACCAGGATTGTGTCGTGTGATTAAAGCTACAAGAACTGGATCCAAGTCATTGCTGACCAACCTGGGAACAGCACATGGCTCTTGGGCAAGGGGATCTTTCTTAGGAAAGTTGGTTGTTGTACTTTGAAGCGAAACCTTAAAGATCTCAGTATGAGAGTAGGGAGGTTCAGGGTTTCTCGTGTCACAGGAAATGCAGTCACAAGGTAGACCGACTTGTGCCATGAAAGGGAAACTGAGGACAACGTGGACGTGGAGCTCAACTTTTCTCATGGGCTTATTTCCTGGTTATTATCCAACTTTCAAAGGACAGTTTGTAAATCTATGATACCAAGCTGAAGGTCTTTGCCTTGGTTTGGACAAAGGACCAATTAAACCTTTATTAGCCCAAGGGAGAGTGAAGATGGGGGAGGGAGAAGCAGTGTGACTTTGTCTCCTGTGATGGTGCCTGTATACACAAAATGCTGTGTTTAGGTATGGTTTTCATAACTAGCTTTTTTTCTGAGTTAAAATCCACTCCCACCCCCTTTTAAATGTCATCTAGTTTAAGTTTCATGAGCTCCAGATCATAAGACTGCCTGTTTCTGCGGTGTGTTTATGGGTCATTTTAGAGGGCAGAACTTAGGGGCACTCCTGCGTAGACTGCCCAAGCCAGAGGGATCCTGAGTGTGTAGCCTGATGACCTGTCAGTAGCATGATCAGTCTATGGACCCCCAAAAGATTTTCTAAGTCAGAAACTCCGAGGGAGGGGCTTGAGGCATCTAGTGTTGCAGGTTGCCAGAGGGCTCGGATGAAGCTACACTTTGAGAACACTGTGCCGGGAAAGGAAGTGCTGTACTACAGTTGGGTCTAGTGTTTCAATTGGAGAAATCTCTGTTTCCTCTAGTCCCTCTGTAGAGTAAACGGCAGGGGGTGGGGGGGGACTAATCTGGAGGTTTAATCCTCCCCCAAAACATGCTCAACATAGGGGGAGTTCAGTCTCTGGAAGGCTGTCCAGCTGGACTCACCTGGGACTGAGAGAAACCCCCAGACATAGTTATGCATATATATGCTAAGCAAGTAAATCTGCTTTCTGCACCAAGGCTTGCCTCTCGTTGTCTCCTCAATAAGCCATGCCTTGCTGGCATGACATTATCTTGTCATTGGTGTTTTGAAGTTAGAAGATGAAAGGGCTCATGAACACACAGCATATGGTGAAAGGCCATTTCACTGGAGCTTCGTCAGGAGCATAGTGGTTGAGTACAGCATTCATAATAACGATGGCAATAATAAATACTCTCTACACAGTGTATATTTTACGAGGCTATTTGTGCATGTTAGTGTGATCTTCAAATAGCACGTGTGTTAGGGAAAGTGTACAGCAGAGACACCATCTTCACCATCGTCATGATTGCCACCACCACCATCAGGAGGCAGGTCCAGAGCCTGCAGGAAGCAGGAAATAGGACTAACTGTATTTTCTCATCCCTTTTGTATGGCACCTTCATAGGATTGTGGGATGAACCGGACTGTGGAGGTTTTACTTCTTCGTGCAAGCCCATAAAAGCGTTTATCACTTTTGCCATCTTTGAAGCTGCCAGGAACCCTGGACTTGCTATGGATATCCTGTCCATCCTAGTCACCCCCCTGTATCAATTCTACCATACTTCATTGCCCAAGCAGCCAGCAGGGCCATGCCATGCCGATAACAATGCAAGTCCCTTTAAAATCCCTTCACAAATGAGAAGTTCTTGTTTCCCATAGATGTATATCCTTCCTTGCTCTGTGACTCCAAAAAAAATTAGTCCTTCAGTTTGTTAGAAATAATTTATTTGGCATGTAAAATAAAGGGCTTCCTATGATATTGCAATCCATAGCACCACTGTGCCATCCTCACGTTCATCCACTACACCTTCCTCAAGTCCCCTTCCTCCACTTCGTGGGCTCCTTTCTGTTTTCATGTCAGACATATGTGTATGATTAAATCCAAACCTGCTGATAAGAGAAAAATGAGGCATTCCCCCCCCCTTATAAATGCATTCTCTTTGCCACCCACCCCCATTCTTTCTCTATCTTAAAGCACGTTCTCATAAAGCCCAGGCTATCCTTCATCTTGCTTAGTAGCCGAGGGCGACATTCAGTTTCTGCTCTCTCTGCCTCCACCTCCCTTGTGCTGGGATAACAGGCCGCTTGCTTTTATGAAGTGGAGAGGGGTCAAAGCCAGGGCACCAAGCGTGCTAAGCAAATACTCTACCAACTTACCCCCAGATCGTTAAGCTTTCCTGTTGGTCACTTCACATGTGAGGTCTCCTCCTGGGTCAACAACACAGTGATGAGCAGTCCATTCTAATCAGGGTGGGGAAGGCAGACTGCAGCTCCAGACAACCCCGGGGATTGCAGCAATTCTGCCGGACAGATTGGCTTCTTATTGGCACTTCCTGTTCGTGACTGTGATCAAAGCCTCTGTCTCATCATGGCTGCTCGTGGGGGCCCAGTCAGAGTCCCTGTGCCAAAGAGAACAGAGCAGAGGGCCCTGCAAAACCTGGCAGTAGTGATTCGGTGCTTGACCTAGGACGCGCCACTTCCGCTCCCATCTCACTGACCAGGAAACGTTTCTTCCCTGTTTGCTGTAGTAATCATAGCATACATACCATATGCACACACCCTGTAGTCTCCTGTAAGGAGTGACTTCCACCTACTGGGTGATCATGGGGCTCCTGACAGTCACAGCCAACTGTGGTCCAAGCACTCCCAAGCTTTGTCCATCTCTTGCCTCCACAGCCTTGGTGGCTGCAGCACTGTGTGTGTGTGTGTGTGTGTGTGTGTGTGTGTGTGTGTGTGTGTGTGTGTGTGTGTTAGAGAAGATAAAAACCAACTGTCCATCCACAGGCTCATATTGGGAGTTAGAGGGGTGCGCCGTTCCTAGAATTATAGTTAAATTCCAGAGAGACTGAAAAGGCGCCGCACCGGGATTGAGAGAGTCATTACTTCATGGCCTCTTTGGAGCTTACCGGTACATACTTCAGGCCACGGTGACCCCAGTTTAAAGACGCATCCTGCCAGGGAAAGCTTGCCAGACACGTCTGGGTAGGGCTGTTATTTGAAGCTACTTCAGCCGCTGCCTGCTGCAGATGAATGTAACTCGTATGTGGCCTGTCTTGCCACCTTCCATATCAGCTAAACAATCTGCCTGAAGGCGGTTGGTCTATGAAATGACAGAGCCCTGGATTACTCCTTATCCATTCTGTGAGTTCCCCAAGGGAAGTACAGAGTGTATATTTTCTGGAAGTAAAGTTTATTATGTTGTTTGAAAATGTTACTCGGAGCAACAGATGTTATTTTTGGAGCCTGTGCAACTTTATTTCAGAAAAAAAAAAGTCTTGGCCAGAGTTAAAAGCTCTCTGACTGCAAGTGATTGGTATACAGGCTTCCAGCCTGGTTTCTTCGCTTGTGCCATGACCGCTCGCAGGCAGAGGCAGCAAGTAAGTAGTCTGCCGGTTTTCACCGGTTTCCAGACTTGGAGTGGTCACCACCCTGCTGTGACAAATGCACCTCGGCTTGGAGACGCTGCTTGCCCTAACCTTCACTTTGAAGAACCGCAGGGAAAATGATGGAGAATCTGCCTGTGTCCTCAGAATCAATTTGGACTCGGTACAGTTCGTTCCTCTTCATCTGGCTGTGAAGAACAGCAGTTTGGAGCCTCAAAGGCAGAGTGTGTTGTCCTCTGTGCCAGGGGAATTAGTCACAATTTCCTCTTCTGTGAGAAGTCTCAGAGGGGCGCTCTGGCTTGGCGGAGCCAGCACTCTCCTGGAAAACTTCAGTAAGACATCTCAGGATGGTCTCCAGGGGACAAAGGTCAAGCTCCTAATGGAAATCTGACTTCATTTTGGCTTCATTCGCCTGTCCTTTTGACTCTTTGGTGCCATTCATTACTCTCTCTTGGGTAGCTCATTACTGTGAGAATGCAAAGAAAGTAAACAGGAGTAGTTGGAGATCAAGTGAGGTTCATGGCCGGGAAGGGACAATGACTCTTCTAGCCCAGCGCTAGGTCTAGAGTCTGGGGCGGGGTGGTGCAGTGGTGTCTGCTGCTAAGATCCAGCCTGTTGAGTAGACACACTGTCTAGGGACCCTTGCCACTCTGGACTGGGCTTCTGTTAAGTAACTGCTCTGAGGACCCAATGGTCTCTTCTGGATCCCTGTTTTGTCTCCAAGGAGGAGGTTCAGTTCTTGCTGCTTGGGAAAGGCAAGTCAGTGAGCTTCGTAGACTGTTGTGGGCTCCGGAAAGCAGTTCTTTCCGCATGAGTCCCCATGGTGAGTGCATGGGGGTCTCAACACCTGGGCTGTTGTGGCAGAGACTCAAACGTTTGTTGACCAGATTGTGAGTTTTGAGCTTGCTTTCAGAAGCAGGAGAGAGGAACAAGGACAAATCCAAGTTGGAGGAACAGTATGGAGTCATCACATGACACTTACTGGAATCAGATTCGGATCAGAGCTCTACAGGTCCGTGAGGGTCAGACCTGATAAATGGTGTCATGTGGCAAACATCTGGGCGGTCTCTGGTTGGTCTGCAGTCTTGCAGCTTCATTCGCAGAGTCCTTCTTCCAAGTATGTGTGCCAGGTAAAGAGGCAGCCTGCAAACGGTTGAGGGACGATGGGAAAGAGAGAACCAGGGCGCTTCTTTCTCTCCATGCTTCCAATGGTGTTTCCTGCAGTATCTGCATCTTGGCTAATCACCTTAAAAAATGAAAACTCTCCCTCGTGTGCGAATTCCTCTGACTCCAGGTTTTTTTGGGAAAGCTCTAAACATTGTGCAACTCTTTGGGCCGCCTTCCCTCTGGTCGCCCACCTCCTCGTGCCGCCTTCCCTCTGGCCGCCCACCTCTTCGCGCCATCTCTCCAGTTCTTACTCATCAGTTCCCTTCAGCTCGTGACTTTCTGCGATGGTTAATTATCACCGTCAACTTTATTGGATTTAAAACTACGAGGGACCATTAGTAAGATGCTTCTGTAGATGATTTTGCGCTAAGATGTTTCACCAAAGGGTTACCTGAGAGGAAGCACTCCTGCTGAAGGTGGGCAGCACCCTCCAATGGCCATGGGGCTAGTCGTCATCATTCTTCAGCTCCACTTCCTGTCGCCAGGATGTGAGCAGCCTTCTCTGCTGAATTCCCACTGTTAGGATGTTCTACCCAGGTGCATGGGGCCGGATCATCACTGACTGAACCCTGAACCCTGAAACATCATGGGACAAAACAAAATTTCTTTCTTTATGAATTGCTTTCTGTTAAGTATTTTGTCATATCACTGAGGAAAATGAGCTGGGTAAACTCCCAGGCTTGAGCTGGGCCCTCAGGTCTTTACTTTAGATAATAATGTTTCTGTATTAAATGGCCTCTATTTGGAAAACCCAGAGCCATTTCCCTTTACTGGAAGATCTCAACCTGCAGGAGATGACGTCCACCAAATTACCTCTTTTCCTCTAACACATATTTGTGCCTATCCCTTTCTTAAAATGTTTTTCCTTCTAGCTCACTGATTTTCTTCACATCCCTGCTGAACTTCAGTTCTTTCAGGCATTTCTGCCTTTCCACTCAAATCTGCATTTTCATCTGAAGATTAGCAGGCACCATTTGATGTATAGTTCAGGATGCATGATTCAGAGTCACGGAATGAAATTAAAAGTCTTAATTGGCATTCTTTCCTCTCTCCTGCTGTCCGAGTCACCTACTTTTCCTAGCATGGAGTTCCCTTTTTCCTCTCTCGCTCTTTCTTTGAATATCAGCTCACCTGGCAGGGGTGATCTGCCTGGCTTTTATGCCGTGCTTCTGATACTGTTGGCTCACGGCACGGGAGACCACTCATGATTCCCGCCTCGTTCTGAGTTATTTCAACAAAAGGCAGAAATAGGGGGCCTCATTAGCAAGAGCAAGCCATGCATCCATCACATCAGCCAAGTTTCTCAATTCTTAGCACTGTTGTCTCTCCAAGGCTTTAAAGCTGTTACTAACAGGGGACCCAAAACTGTTGAGGTGCGATGTCAGAGTCCGATGCACCGCTGTCAGGAGGTCCATGCTCAGGTCTTCACTGTGATGCTCATCAATTGTGTGTTGAGAGGCAGGGGGGGCATTTTTAAAACAGGAGCTGGGTAAGTAATCTCTAAGAGTGCACGAACAGAAAATTGTAACTGTGAAGTAAATCTGGTTGTGGCTTTTAAAGAACAATTTCTTTGTGATTTAATTTTTTTTGTCCTTGAGGACAATAGAGACCTTCGGGTGAGCCGGAAAACACATGTTCTCCGCTTTCACTCTCACCCCAATATTCCCATCTGTATTGCCCTTCGTGTGCTCAGCCCTGGAGAGGTGAAGCAGCTGATGCCGGTTCTCTCTCATCATAGGTAAGGAGCTTGAGATGGAAGGACTAGCGTAGCTAAGATCATGCATACCTTCTATTATATTATTCCTTTTGGTTTCTGTTATGGATGGAGCCCTACAGAGGTTCCCAAAGCAAAGACTTGAAAAAGCCACGTTTCCATGGAGTCGGCACCAGCCTTACTTCTCCAAGCCCTGTGCACTTCATCCCCTGATGGCAGCTGGTTTGTACCTAGGCAGGTAGCTACAGAGAATGTGAAAGCTTTGACCAGGGAAGGGCACGGTCTAACGCTACCCCTATGTTTGTTTAATATGCATCAAGAAAAGGGTTTAAAACAAATGATCAAACTATGATTTAAAGAGAGTAACAGAGAGAGAAAGAAAGAGAGAATATTGCCTAGTCACACAGAGCTGTATAAATCACTACGCTGAAATACACCTGCAGTTTTGTACAAAAAGAAATTTGCCATAGATGGCATGGACTTGTGTCGATCTTTCTCCTCTTCTGCTTTCCAACATTTATGATGATTGCCGAGGCTCCCTCTCTTTCTTCACACGTAGACAATGGGATGCCAAATTCTCTTATCACATAAGGACTAGGTGCATTCAGTTGCCGCTTTCTCTACTGTCAAGAAGATAAATTAGTTTGAATTTTTTATTGCTCTTTGTTTTCTTTAGGGGTCTGATTTATTATTCTCCCAGAAAGCATAAGGAAGTATCGAAAAAATCAATAGCCGGTAAAGAACTAAAAGTCTCAAAATGCAAAATGCAAGTGAATATTAAAACCAACAACTCAACTTCCTATTAAGTTAAAATGAGCCATCTTTATGTAAGAGCCAAAGATTTATTTCTATATTATCAATGTTTAAAATTATGCAAACACAGTGAAAAGCTGAGGGTCGGTGCTAAACAGTTGAGGACCTAGCCAGACACAGGAGGCCAGCTTGAAAGAACTCTCACTGCCAGTCCCTGCACAAAGTAAATCATCATAGCAATGTCTTGCACCTAATGAATAAAATGAGAAGACAATGCGTGTGTGGTTGTCATAGGTTGCAACCTACCAGCTCGCCCAAGAATGCCTATGTCCCCACTGAGACGAGGAATAAATGAACGAATAAGGCAGTGGAGAAAAGGATAAGCTCTCCCTTGCTCTACCGTGTTACCAACAGCTGTGGTAGGAATGACAGAAGGCCCTCATTAGGATGCCATCAGCCGCGGGGGGGGGGGGGCGCTGCTGGTGAGGATCAGGAAGTTTACCAAGCATCTGAGCATCTCTCACAGATTCATGTTACCTGTGGGAAAGTTATGGAGTTAAGGGGTCATAATATTTCTAACACACCTTCAAATGGCACAGAAAGGAAGTGTAAATAGCATAGACAATCTCACGTGTGCAAATGCATGCATTTCCTACCATTGGTCTGCATTTG